ATTCTCCTCGTGTGGCGACCTCGGTGAATCCCTGGTGGCTAGCTGTTGCTGAAGTCCGAGTTGGGCAACTGAAAGGACAAACTGCTGGTTTCGTAATGTTTGGCCGAGTTTGGCCTCCATGATATGATTATCATACATGTTTTCATGTGTTTTTGTGGCTGCAAAATTGACTGTCTAGTAGATTTGGAGAGTTTATAGACTACCAGATCTCTTGCTAACCTTGCCTGCTCCCGTCTCCCGGCGATTTGCACAATCCAAGGTCTTATGAAAAATCAGCAGGAGGCTTTGAGTTTGGCCCCCGTGATATTGGCTTTCTGCAGAACATAGGTGGGGTTGTTGCCAGTGGGGATTTGGCAAACACACGGCCATGGGTTTTATCCTCGCTTGAAACCAATGTTGACTGCAGGTGCTGTGGGCCTTTTGAGTTCGCAGCTTTTCCTGTACCCGAAGCTGACCAAGAAGTTTGGCCCCGTGGCAGGAGAGGTCCAACATTGTAGTGCTGGGGTGGGTACAGATTCTTGTCTTTCTGCGTTAGACGTTTTTTTTTCTGGAAACCCAGGAGCCCAATGGCTTGAATGATCCTCGTTGGTTATATAATATATATATCTAAGAATCTAAGTGCACACACACACACACACCCGCTGGATTGGTCACACTTCACACATTTCATACCTGACCTGCTGACCTCTTTGACTGCGAGTCACAACCTCCGTGAGATGAGGTTTTCTGAATGTCTTTCTCTTGGGTTTTTGCATGGCTCATCTCTCCTATGGACTCTTTCCCGTCTATGGCACCTTGGACTCCGCAGTCGACCGCTGGTATGGGCGACGGGTATGGGCGATTCAAAATCTAGGGATATGGGTTCTGGAAACAGGGTACCCTAAAACCCATGGGCGATCATCATCAATCATCAATTTCCTCATTAAATAGCAAATTTGTGGTATACATCATTTCCGGTCAAACCCATATGGAAGTATGCAATCCAGGAATATGACGTGTCATTGGAAGTCAACTTGAAACCATTCAGTCTCCAAGGTCAGATGTTTGAGCACAGCACAAACAACTAGACCGTGTATTGGATGCCCCTCATTTCACTCTGATGATTTGCCTGGACTACTGGTGATCGACTGTGCTTGTGTCACCTTAGAGACTGTGTGGCCAAGATCCACAGACACTTCCGCAGTTCCACTGAACACAACTGTTCATATAGTTTCAAAGATGGATAGATCTTGGGCCATCCGCAAGTACATTGCCTGTCCGCTTGAAACTGTGGGTTGAATTGTTCCTAGCAATCGAATGCATCCGGTCAATTGAACTTGGATTCCTTTGGCCCAAGGCGACCTATTCTTTTGCACAGAATTCTTACCGTTGCGTCACAAAAACATGGCGTAGTCGCAGCGCATTGCTTCCCAGGTCTCTTCTACGATAAGGACAAGTACGGTTCCTTGGCAGACACAAATGAAATGGCTAGAAGGAGATGGGTCCTTTGGGGCAATTTCCCCCAAACTATGGACTTTCCAGGTATGAATCATACTAACCATTACTAACCCTTACTATCAGTCCATATCTTTGGTGATTTCGCCTCCAGGCATGTGGAGGTTCGTGCCATTGGGCTGCATGCAGTTTATGTATACGGCTTCCACGGGAATGATGTTCCCCACAGCCTTTGCCTTCATCAACCGTGCCTTGGATGCCTTGGGTAGCAGCGCAACCCCCATGATGGGCAGTCAGAGGGTATTTTTTTTTTACGTAGGAAAGTGATGGAAAGAGAGGTGTTTGTTTTTTTGCTTCAGTTTGTTGCCCAGGAGAAGATTAGCAAGCGAGCAGTGTTCAAAACCTGCGGTTGATTTTAGGGGGTATATTAGCCAATAAGGAATGATCACAATCATAAAGTGGCTTTATCGGAAATTCTATTACTCAAGATTACTCAAGTAACTCCAGTGGCCCCACCATGTCGCTTCATCCCTGGCACCCACGTTAAGGTGCTGCTGAGGGCTTGAACCGAGGAGCAGTGAAGCCTGGCTGCGAGGTTAGTCTCCCTTGATCCGGACCCCGGTTGTGCCTCAGACTTGCTGACCAGAAATTGGTTGGTTCTACACGTTTATACCCCGCACATTTCAATATGATACCTGAAAATGGCAATTTGATGCGATTTCCAACAATTCCAATAATAGGAAACCTTCTTGCGCACTCTGTTTTGGGGTCGCTTGTCAAATATGTTAAATTTACAGGGTATAAACCGAATGACAAGCAGTTTCCTGGGTCGTGGTATCTCACTTTTCCGATTAGTGGTGGATTGAGACGAATCAGGAACCGGGGTGCGGGGGGAGAGGTCGCTGCTGTTGCCGGACATGTTGGACATGGTACCCGTTTTGTTGGTTGCATAGATCCAACTACGGATGAACAAAATACATGAGAGAGAGAGAGATATAAATAATATGGATCTAGTACATCTACGTATGTACATGTATGCAATATCATATGGATTTTGCTTTATATCAGAATCAAAAAGTGTGTATGTGGTACTTGTGGTTTCTTTTTGTAAAATGCATAGATATCTCATTTCATTTGATCTTCTCTTATCGTATCTGATATGATCTAGTCAAATGAAATCCAAATTGAATCAAACCTACATCTAAATCTAAATGAAATCAAATCTATCCACAATTCATACAGATGTATTATGTGTATATATATTATATAATATATATATATATGTATAATATAGTATATATATATAAATAATATATACAAACATACACATTTATACCTCTATCTCATCTGTCCCCATGATGGTTCTCTCCCCATGGGACCAGGAACGGCTGGGCCAATTCTTCGGGTGCCTTGTGCCGCGCCGCCTTTCCGCCGGCGTCAGCTGTGCCTGGGATGGAGTCAATTCAATTCTACGCAGTGCATCCCAGGTAGTAGGTGAATTATAACCTTGATCATGTCATAGCTCAGTTATATAACTGATGGTAACATATATATATATGTCTGTATATATATAGCTATCAAAGGAAGTTGGGAAGCAATACTTCCGTGTTACGGACAAATAGAATTGTGAGACTTGACCTTGATGAATGGCGGTGTGAGACTTTACACTACAATACATCACAAAAGAATTGACCGTGATGAAGGGCGGTGTCTGATTTTACACTACACAGCAATACATCACAAAAAAATTGACCTGCATGAATGTTGCATGGGGCTTGTGTTGGGGAGGAAGCCGGAGCACAAAACCTTGTGTTTTTCCGTGTAAAGTGGCTGCAGCCGGCGATGAAAGGTACCTCGTGTGTGCGGCGGTTGCGGCTGCGGTCGTTTTGGTTCCTTTGTGTTCTGCAACGAGTGGTTGTTCCTGTGTGCGTAGTTCTATGCGTTTCTTGAATCTGTGGTTGCAGATCTCATTGGAATGGCTGCATGAATGTTGCATGGGCTATGTTTTGGGGAGGAAGCCGGAGCACGAAACCTTGTGTTTTTCCGTGTAAAGTGGCTGCAGCCGGCGATGAAAGGTACCTCGTGTGTGTGGCGGTTGCGGCTGCGGTCGTTTTGGTTCCTCTGTGTTCTGCAACGAGTGGTTGTTCCTGTGTGCGTAGTTCTATGCGTTTCTTGAATCTGTGGTTGCAGATCGCATTGGAATGGCTGCTGATTGTCGTCATCTGATGTTGCCACGTGCGTAGATACGTGCAGGTTTGCGACGTGATGCTGCAAAACGCATTGTAATGGCTGCGTCAGGGTTGCTTGGCACCGCGGCTGCATGCGTAATACTATTCTCTTTTGCAGCTGGACATCGTAAATCGTATTGGAGTGGCTGCATCAAGGCTGCGATATTGATTTGTCAGCAGATTTTCTCAATTTTGGCGCTAGTAATTTTCCTTTTAAAGTCCTTTTAAAAAGTGCTTCAAAATCGTCTTTTTTTCACGTTGGCGTCGGGATCCATCCGGTTTTGGAGCTGCAATTTGCGACGCCATTGCGCGTAGTGCTTTGGTGTTTTGCAACTCAGTCTCTGCAGATCGCATTGTAGTGGCTGCGTCAAGGTTGCTTCGTGCTGCGGCTGCATGCGTAATACTGTTGTCTTTTGCAGCTGGATCTCGTAAATAGTATTGAAATGGCTGCATCAAGGCTGCGACAGTGATTTGTCAGCAAATTTTCTCAATTTTGGCGCTAGTAATTTTCCTTTAAAAAATCCTTTTAAAAAGTGCTTCGGAATCGTTTTTTTTTCCGCTTTGGCGTCGGGATCCGGTTTTGGAGCTGCAATTTCCGACGCCGTTGCGCGTAGTTCTTTTGTGTTTTGCAACTCAGTCTCTGCAGATCGCATTGTAATGGCTGCGTCAGGGTTGCTTGGCACCGCGGCTGCATGCGTATACTAGTCTCTTTTGCAGCTGGACATCGTAAATCGTATTGGAGTGGCTGCATCAAGGCTGCGATATTGATTTGTCAGCAGATTTTCTCAATTTTGGCGCTAGCAAGTTTCCTTTTAAAGTCCTTTTAAAAAGTGCTTCAAAATCGTCTTTTTTTCGCGTTGGCGTCGAGATCCGTCCGGCTTTGGAGCTGCAATTACTGTTGAGATTATGTACAAGAAAGCTTCTCTGTGTAAAAACTTGTTTCTGTAAAAGCTTGCTGTGTGTAAAAGCTTGCTGTGGTAAAAGCTTCTCTGTGTGTAAACGCTTCCCTGTGTAAAAGTTTCCGTGTGTGTAAACGCTTGCCATGCGTAAAAGCACTGTGTGTAAGTGTTCTGTGTGTAAACGCTTGCTGTGCGTGAAAGCTTGCCGTGTGTAAAAGCTTCTGTGTGTAAAAGCTTCTCTGTTTAAAAAGCTTGCTGTGTGTAAAAGCTTCTCTGCGAAAGAACTTGCTGCGTGTAAAAGCTTTCTTTGTGCAAACTTTGTATCACAAAGTAGTACTGGGACGTACTTTGTGCAAGCTTTTGTAGTACAAAGTAGTACTGGGTCGGCTACGTAGTACAAAGTAGTGCTGGGAAGTACTTTGTGCAAGCTTTGTAGTACAAAGTAGTACTGGGAAGTGCTTTGTGCAAGCTTTGTAGTACAAAGTAGTACTGGAACGTGCTTTGTGCAAGCTTTGTAGTACAAAGTAGTACTGGGAAGCTTTGTAGTACCAAGTAGTACTGGGAAGTGCTTTGTGCAAGCTTTGTAACATTGTAGTACAAAGTAGTACTGGGAAGGACTTTGTACAAGCTTTGTAGTACAAAGTAGTACTGGGAAGTGCTTTGTGCAAGCTTTGTAGTGCAAAGTAGTACCGGGTCGTGCTTTGTGCAAGCTTTGTATTACAAAGTAGTGCTGGGAAGTACCTTTTGCGAGCTTTTGTTGTTCCCGAGAGCGTCTGAGCGAAGGGTTCTTCTAATAGAGGGGGTCTGTCAAACATGTTTACATCTTCACATCTTCTCATCCTCACATCCTCACATCTTCACATCCTGACATCTTCACATCTTCTCATCTTCACATCTGCTCATCTTCACATCTTCCCATCTTCACATCTGCTCATCTTCACATCTTCTCACCTTCACATCCTCACATATTCACATATTCACATCTGCTCATCTTCACATCTTCTCATCTTCACACCCTCACATATTCACATCTTCTCATCTTCACATCCTCACACCCTCACATCTTCACATCCTCACATCTTCACATCTTCTCATCTTCACATCTGCTCATCTTCACATTCTCACATCTTCACATCTTCTCATCTTCACATCTTCTCACCCTCACATCTTTACATCTTCTCATCTTCACATCTTCTCATCCTCACATCTTCACATCTTCACTTTCTCTCTTGCCCTCTTGCTCTCTTGCCCTCTTGCTCTCTTCCTTCTTTTCATTTCTCTCTTGAAGGCGCGGGGCAGTGCCAACGAGACGGCACGAAACGCAACCCTTTCGCACGAAACGAGGTTCGATCGCCAAAAGCAAAAAATTGAGATTTTGACATGTCCGCGACAACCCTTTCGCACGACATGAGGTTCGATCGCCAAAAGCTGCGGTAAAATTGAGATAATGTCCGCGGCAACGATCGCCAAAAACTGAAATAAAAAATTCAGATTTTACAACTTCCGCGGAAACCCTTTTGCACGAAATGAGATTCGATCGCCAAAAGCTGAGGTAAAAATTGCGATTTCACAACTTCCGCGGCAACCCTTTCGCACGAAATGAGGTTCGATCGCCAAAAACTAAGGTAAATTGCGATTTTGAGTGTGCCGCGGCAACCTTTTCGCACGAAATGAGGTTCGATCGAAAAATGAGGTAAAATTGCGATTTTGAAATGCCCGCGACAACCCTTTCGCACGAAATGAGGTTCGATCGCCAAAAACTGTGGTAAAATTGCGAGTTTGGGTGTGCGGCGACAACCCTTTTGCACCAAATGAAGTTCGAAAGCCAAAAACTGCGGTAAATTGTGTACAAGCTTCTGTGTGTAAAAGCATTTGTGTGTAAAAGTGTCTGTGTGTAAAAGCTTCTGTGTGTAAAAGCGTCTGTGTGTAAAAGCGTCTGTGTAAAAGCGCCTGTGTGTAAAAGCGTCTGTGTGTAAAAGCGTCTGTGTGTAAAAGCGCCTGTGTGTAAAAGCGTCTGTGTGTAAACGCGTCTGTGTGTAAAAGTTTTTGTGTGTAAAAGCTTTTGTGTGTAAAAGCTTCTGTGTGTAAAAGCGTCTTTGTGTGAAAGTGTTTGTGTGTAAAAGCGTCTGTGTGTAAAAGCGTTTGTGTGTAAAAGCGTCTGTGTGTAAAAGCGCCTGTGTGTAAAAGCGTCTGTGTGTAAAAGCGTCTGTGTGTAAAAGCGCCTGTGTGTAAAAGCGTCTGTGTGTAAACGCGTCTGTGTGTAAAAGTTTTTGTGTGTAAAAGCTTTTGTGTGTAAAAGCTTCTGTGTGTAAAAGCGTCTTTGTGTGAAAGTGTTTGTGTGTAAAAGCGTCTGTGTGTAAAAGCGTTTGTGTGTACAAGCTTCTGCGTGTAAAAGCTTCTGTGTGTATATAAAAGCGTCTGTGTGTAAAAGCGTCTGCGTGTAAACGTGTCTGTGTGTAAAAGTTTTTGTGTGTAACAGCGTTTGCGCGTAAAGGCGTCTGTGTGTCAAAGCTTCTGTGTGTAAAAGTTTCTGTGTGTAAAAGTCTCTGTGTGTAAAAGCGTCTGTGTGTAAAAGCTTCTGCCTGTAAAAGCTTCTGTGTGTAAAAGCGTCTGTTTGAAAAAGCTTCTGTGTGTAAAAGTTTCTGTGTGTAAAAGTCTCTGTGTGTAAAAGCGTCTGTGTGTAAAAGCGCCTGTGTGTAAAAGCGTCTGTGTGTAAAAGTCTCTGTGGGTGAAACGGTTTGTGGGTGAAATTGTTTTTTGTGAAAAGGGTCTGTGTGTAAAAGCGTCTGTGTGTAAAAGCGTCTCTGTGTAGAAGCCTGTGTTGGTAAAAGCTTCTGTGTGTAAAAGCTTCTGTGTGTAAAAATCCCTGTGTGTGAAAGTGTTTGTGTGTAAAAGCCTCTTTGTGTAAAAGTCTCTGTTTGTAAAAGCTTCTTTGTGTAAAAACGTCTGTGTGTAAACGCTTCTGTGTGTGAAAGTGTTTGTGTGTAAAAGCGTCTGTGTGTAAAAGTTCTGTGTGTGAAAGCGTATGTGTGTAAAAGGGTCTGTGTGTAAAAGCTTCTGTGTGTAAAAGCGTCTGTGTGTAAAAGCTTCTTTGTGTAAAAGCGTCTGTGTGTAAAAGCTTCTTTGTGTAAAAGCTTCTGTGTGAAAAAGCGTCTGTGTGTAAAAGGCTCTGTGTGGAAAACTTTAGGAAGGATACGATGCAAACTATTGTCTTGTACTTGTAAAATATTGTGTTGATACTGCTCTTCTCGTCTGCCTATAATAGATCTTAAATATATTGTCTTGTCACGAAAGGTAGCCTCCTAGCGGGCTACCTTGAGTTTTACTTTGCGAAGCAAAGGGGCGGGCTGGACCCCTTATCCCTGAACGACCAGGAGAAAGGGACCCCGCTCCCCCCCTCAAAGGGAACTCTCGCCATATGCCTGGTGAGTCTCTTCACGCAGCAGCCCCTTCGCAGTGTCTCGTCATCATCATCATCATCAACATCATCATCATCATCCTCCTCCTCATCACCATCATCATTCGACTTGAAAGTCGGATTTTTCGACATCCATTTTCCAAGTACCCAACGGTGCGGTGAAAGTGACAGGTTCGAGCATCCATAGGTAACGCAAAAAGAGACATTGGAGTTTGTGCTAACACTGATCGTGTTTTTTCCCCGCACGATGCGTGTGTCTGACAATGTATACCTCCAAATGGCTATTTAAATGGACTAAGTGATGAGCAACCATGGACATCGTGGGGTGCTCTCTTTTCGGATCCAGATATCTCCGCTCTGAATGTCCAGTTCCATGCCCCCCCCCCCAAGTGAACTCACATGCCTTGTGCGTCTCTTCACGCAGCAGCCCCTTCGCAGTGTCTCATCATCAGCATCATCGTCATCATCCTCATCATCATCATCATCACCATCATCATCATCATCATCATCATCATCATTCGACTTGAAATTCGGATTTTTCGACATCCATTTTCCAAGTACCCAACGGTGCGATGAAAGTGACAGGTTCGAGCATCCATAGGTACCGCAAAAAGAGACATTGGAGTTCGTGCTAACACTGATCGTGTTTTTTTTTCCCCGCACGATGCGTGTGTCTGACAATGTATACCTCCAAATGGCAATTTAAATGGACTAAGTGATGAGCAACCATGGACATCGTGGGGTGCTCTCTTTTCGGATCCAGATATCTCCGCTCTGCTCTGAATGTCCAGTTCCATGCCCCCCCCCCAAGTGAACTCTCGTCACATGCCTTGTGCGTCTCTTCACGCAGCAGCCCCTTCGCAGTGTCTCATCATCAGCATCATCGTCATCATCATCCTCATCATCATCATCATCATCGTCATCGTCATCGTCATCATTCGACTTGAAATTCGGATTTTTCGACATCCATTTTCCAAGTACCCAACGGTGCGATGAAAGTGACAGGTTCGAGCATCCATAGGTACCGCAAAAAGAGACATTGCAGTTTGTGCTAACGCTGAACCTCCAAATGGCTATTTAAATGGACTAAGTGATGAGCAACCATGGACATCGTGCGGTGCTCTCTTTTCGGATCCAGATATCTCGGCTCTGCTCTGAATGTCCAGTTCCATGCCCCCCCAGGTGAACTCTCGTCACATGCCTTGTGCGTCTCTTCACGCAGCAGCCCCTTCGCAGTGTCTCATCATCAGCATCATCGTCATCATCATCCTCATCATCATCATCATGATCATCATCATCATCATCATCATCATTCGACTTGCGATTCGGATTTTTCGACATCCATTTGCCACGTCACTTTAACTTTTGCAAGCAAACGGGTGAAGCAAAGGAACGTCGGCGCTTCTCCATGCTTCGGTTGGACAGAAATTTTCCCTTCGTTCTGTCAAAGCGGTGATTTGCTAGCGCATGACGTCCATATTGACAAGCCTAAGGCTTGGTGTCAGCAGAAAAGGGCCCGGTCGCATGTCGGCTTTCGCACTGAGTGATCCCCCGCGTCCCCTGTGACACAACTACCCCTTCTCAAGTAATATAGTGTCTCAATACTAACAACAGAAGACCCTGCTCCTCTGCGCTCTCGGGCCATCCGTCGTCTAGTAGACAGTAGAACTGGGAAGTAGTTTGCGCAAGCTTTGTAGTACAAAGTAGTACTGGGAAATACTTTGTGCAGGCTTCGTAGTACAAAGTAGTTCTGGGAAGTACTTTTGCCAAGCTTTGTAGTACACAGTAGTACTGGGAAGTAGTTTGTGCAAGCTTTGTATTACAATAGTACTGGGAAGTGCTTTGTGCAAGCTTTGTAGTACAAAGTAGTACTGGGACGTGCTTTGTGCAAGTCTTGTAGTACAAAGTAGTACTGGGTCGTGCTTTGTGCAAGCTTTGTAGTACAAAGTAGTACTGGGAAGTGCTTTTGGCAAGCTTTGTAGTACACAGTAGTACTCGGAAGTGCTTTGTGCAAGCTTTGAAGTACAAAGTAGTACTCGGAAGTGCTTTGTGCAAGCTTTGTATTACAAAGTAGTACTGGGAAGTGCTCTGTGCAAGCTTTGTATTACAAAGTATTTCGGAAAGGCTTTTGTATGTAAATGCATCTGTGTCTCAAGTGTCTCTGTGCAAAAACTTTCTGCACCCAATGGTTTTTTTTGTGCAAGAGACTTTTCTCTGACAGTAAGAGCTTTCTGGCGTGCAGAACAGCTAAGATGAGTTGAGACGAACTTTAAGGAGATGAGAACAGTTGATCAGCGCTCGGATGAGATGAAAGCAGTTGAGAAGAACTTACTTAGATGACATGTGAGAAGAGATGGGATGAGATGAGAAGAGCTGAGATGAGGTGAGAAGAGCTCACATGATTTGAGATGAGATGAAGTGTCGAGTGCGAAGTGCAAGTGTGAAGTGCAAGTGTGAAGTGTGAAGAGTGCAGTGTGAAGTGTGAGGAAAGTCTGCGCTTGGCGTTGCATTGCACCGGGGTCGCGCGCAGGTCATATTCTTGGACAACAATACTGCAGCAGCTTCGCACAAAGCACGCACGCACGGGCCTGGCTGGCGCACGGCGCATGCAAGTTCCTTAGTAGTAGTGCTGGGAAGTGACTCATGAAAGCTTAGATGACATATGAGAAGAGATGAGATGAGAAGAGATGAGCTGGGATAAGGTGAGAAGAGCTCAGATGAGATGAAGTGTGGAGTGTGAAGAGTGCAGTGTGAAGTGTGGGGCGTGAAGAGTGCAGTGCGCAGTGTGGAGTGTGAAGTGTGGAGTGTGAAGAAAGCAGTGAGAAGTGAGAAGTGTGAAGTGTGGAGTGTGAAGTGTGTGAAGTGTGAAGTGTGAAGTGCGAAGAGTGCAGTGTGAAGTGTGAAGTGTGGAGTGTGAAGTGTGAAGTTTGGAGTGTGAAGAGTGCAGTGTGAAGTGTGAAGTGCGAAGTACACCACTTTCGCAGAATGCACGCACGCACGGGCTTGGCTGGCGCACGGCGCATGCAAGTTCTATAGATGAGAAAGGTCTTATATATCCCTAAGGCAGCTTCCGCCCCGCCTCCTGCGGGTACTAGTGGTATAACTCAAATAAAATGTTACATATCATGATGCATATACATATACACAATTATACATATATATATATATACATATATATATAGATAGCGATATATTTATCATATATATATAGTGCGAGTATGGTAATATAACTGAGATATAAGAACATGTTATCCATTTATCTCTATATATATATATATACATAATAAATATATATATAAATATGGATGGAAATATCCACATTTATACATCGTCATATGAATTAGAAACTGCTTACGAGATGAGATGCCTATTCAGATTCAAACAGCGGCCACCCAGGATTAATAAAGCCATGCATTGATATCGGTTTACAAGTCTAAAAACATAATCTAGGGGCACAATGAAATTAAAGTAAATCGGGATTTAATCAATCCAGGGTTGACAGTAGTACCAACCATTTTTGTTAAGTCATTGGGAGATCTTGGTATGTATAGCAGCAGGAAGTGAAGAAGCAGGACTTGTAGAGCCCATCGGTGCGGATATGGATCAATTTATCAGGCAGTTTTGCTTTAGCGTACACGATTTTTTGGTCATGTGATTCTACAATTCCCCAATTTGTTGCAGTTGCAATTCGGGTGGAATCAGTCTAAAATGTTCACCACTTTGGGCATGTGAAGGTGCTAGGTTTTTTTTGCTGGCCACACTGTTTCACATCCCAGGTGCTATTGAGCATCAGTACCAGCGGCTTGTCAAAGAGCTGGCCTTGCCAAGTGTGCTAATGTGTTTCCCCAAAGGAGGTTACGCTGTGGTAGTCAAACATGATTAGCTAGAAGATCCACCATTTTGATTTACCTTTTCAAACTTCCATTTACAGATGATTTATCCATTAAAACCTCCATTCATAGATGATTTTCCGAACTAGAAAACTTACATTCCGGGGATTTCCCCGCCATGTTTGATGACACCCGCCAAGTAAAGTGGTGCAACGAAAAAACGGGAACCGAACAGGTTTCCCCTCCAAAGCTGTACAGAAATCCGGGTTCAAATAACGTGCATCTAACAATCCGCCAAGGTCAAATGGCGGAAACCTTCATTGACTTGGGCGAGAAACAACAAGAAAGTCAAACGACCTTTCTAGTGAATCCCAGGCGAAGGTTCCATAGGGTCTTTAATTTCCAATTCCGTGACCTGGAACCATTGCAAGTGGATATTTTTTTTTGTTGTTTTACTTAGTCATCACAACCTTTTCTGGTTATATCATGATCTCTACAATCTACATAGAGGAGGGTCTATTCGAGTCCCCCATACAGAGACCAGGGGTTGGTAGCTTCATTCTGCGCCGCCAAAGGTTGGGGACCTCTGGGTCGATACCTTCCCCTGTACATCGTGACAGTGATTGCAGCCATTTGCCTTGCTGCTTGGCAATTTGCAGATGGTGGCCAGATGGACTGGAAACGAGGGGGATGAATGGGGGACCAAAGTGGACACAACACAAATGTGCTCATTTCTGGGCATTCATTTGTGTGGCGAATGATTTTGGACCATTATGTCTCCATGTTCTATTCTGGAAGCTTGTTCAACTTCCTAGCAAAACATATGATATACATCTATATACTGTATGGACCATTTGAGTAGATTTTGGGGTGGAAATGCTGGGATGCACCAACATTATCATGACTTGGTGGAGTTCCCACTGCTCAATTTGTTCAGCAGAACCAAAGAATATAAACACAGATTGCAATACCCAAAGAAGCTCCACAGCACCGTCCTTCTGGTGGTGAAGAATCACAGAGTGGTGACAGTCAATGGAATTGTTATATATTGTATATATATATATATGTTGTATATATATACATATGTAGTATATATATACATGTATATACAGTAGTATATATATAGAGTATATATATATATATATGTATATTACATATAGTGTGTATATATATATATATACATATTATACATAGTATATATAATATATACATAGTACATATGGTATATATATAATATACATAGTATATATAATATACATAGTATATATAATATACATAGTATATATAATATACATAGTATATATAATATACATAGTATATATAATATACATAGTATATATATAGTACATATATCTCTATATAAAGTACATATATAAAGTACATGTATATAGTTTTTATATGTAGTATATATATAGTATATATATATGTAGTATATATATAGTATATATATATGTAGTATATATATATATCTAGTATATATATATATAGTATATATAACTAGTATATATATACTATATAGTATATATAGTATATATAAATAGTATATATATATATATTTACTACTATATATATATAGACTATATGGATATATATATATATACACATGTTTTGTGTAAATACACATACACGTACATGATAAACACATAATATACTACAATGCAATACAATACAGATAAGAATTTAAATGCAAATACACACAGTCATGCTATACAAATACAAGTACAGATAGTAATACCAATAATACAATTCAATACAATATAGTAATTTGTAATGCAATACGATACAGCACGATACAATACGATCCAGTACAATACAGTACGGTACAATACGATACAACACAATATGTAATGCAATACAATATGTAATGCAATACAATATGTAATGCAATACAATACAATACATTCAATGATATGATATGACATGATATGATATGAGATGAGATAAGATACTATGATATATTACGATGTAAAAATAGACACAGATAATTTTGAAATATAGATAATATACAGTATATATATATATATGTATATGTATATATATATATGTATATATATATATCTATAGATATTATCTCTTTTGCACCAACTGTACAGGTACATCTTGGAGTCACCAAACCCTCCCAACGCCAAGGCTTGCTCCCTCCCAGGGCTGCGCGTGATCAATGCTCGCAGCGCGATCAATGCACGCGCGCGCAGCCCGGCGGCTGTGGCGCCGGCGCCGCCGGTGGCGCTGGTGCCAACGTCACTGGAGGAGGACTGTCGGAACGCGAGGAGAGAACCCCTCATGGAAGCATGAGGCAGTTTTTCCGGGCTCAATGCGGCCTGAGGGCATGATGGGTGAAAAACAAAGGCGACTCAGTTTCAAGCAGCAAAAGGCCTGCAATTGATGAAGTCGATGGGAACTCTAAGTGATGTGGCGTGTCACACAGTGAGGGGCACACAATTGGGTTTGATGACGTTCCCGTCTTTGACCAATTGGGAAATTTCTCAGGTTTGACTCTGTTCATCAGAAGTGGCCCTGCACTTCAAACACCGCCACGGGAGATTCCGCAGCACCAACGAGAGCGAGGTCGCATCCCAGAAAGAATATAGAGCCCCAATCTCAGATGGGAGAAAACATTTCTTGGTTTGGTTGCGATCAGTTTAGCTGGGAGTCTTTTTTTTTCAGATGGGACCGCTGGACAGATCTGCACGGAACCGTGCATGGGATTCTGCGCAAATGTTTCTGCGCAACTTAGATGCCCGACATTGTGTATAGTGTACAGTCTACAGCACTGAGGCTGTGGGTCACGTCTTGTTGGTCAGTGGATTTTTTTTTTTGGCCAGTCCGGCATTTTTGGATCCACTTGTTTTCATTTTTGGGTGTTTTGGAGGTTGTAAAGATGAACAGGCCAGATGACAGATGCTACAGTGACCCACGCAACAGCTGCTTGTCATGGCACCTTTCACAGCATAACTCACGCCTTTGCGTGGCAAAAGAGAGTGGGTTTCCAGCTTCACCTGCCACCAGGCACCAGGCCATGTCGCGTGGGCGAGATGGTAATAGCCTACCATTTAGGGATGGTTTATACCACGCATTTATGGTTATTTTGGGGATGGTTTATGATGGTTTATGGCATTGGCTGTACCACTGTATTGGGGGGAAGATCCAGCACCAACTATTGCGGTGTTCAAACAAATGTACTATACCCTGATGAAATGACCCATGTCACATGTGCACTCTCAGCAGAACCGTTCGCACACAATGAAGCAGTGGCCTGTGCCATTTCAGGGGCATGATGAAATCATATGAAATCCAAAGGGTGCGGGGACCATGTTTTGGAAACACGTCGTTCAGCCCTGTTTCCGCATCATTCTGGCATCAGAGACAGCAAATGAGGAGATGACAATCCAAGCTGAGAGCTGAAAGCGTGCAGCAGATCTCAATTCAAAATGTAAAAAATCCGCATGGAATCCCAACATCACCATATTTTCAGCTGAAAATTATCATTCTCTCGGCACTTTTCGTTTCAGCACCAGCATGGGTGATTGTATGAAACACAGGTTGAATAGCTGAGCAGCATGGGGCAGCCAGGCCGCTGTCTTTTTGGAAAGAGACTTTTGGTGGGTCAGAGCTGCACATTCTCAGGTTGGCCAGGATGGTGCCAGCCACCAGATCTTGGCGAGGTGCCATGGCCGTCAGATGACGTTAAACAACTTAGGACCTATGGATATATCACATATATATGTAATATACAATATATGATATATATATACATATGTATATATATATATATACATAGAAATACATGTATAAATGTACATCCCAAATTAGCATGGACCATGCCAAAGAGGGGTTTGGAAGATGAGTGTCCACTCTAAAATGGCGACTTTTCAGGGTCAAGCTGTGAATTTTCGGGAGATACCAAGGTAATTAGCAGAGTCTTGATTGATCCGAAGTGGGGCAGCCCATGTTAAGTAGAAAAACCACCTTCCCCGGATATCTTTGGGGTTCCTTGTTAGGGGCCATGGGATATGAAAAAAAGCGATGGATTATCTTTCAGGCAGTGACTTTCGATGTTCTTGGTTGAATGACGGATCATTTATAATCCACTCGTTTGCTGTTGAACCTCCTGACTTTTCTTGCTAAAGCTGCGCTTTTTTGACTCATCTTCTGCAGAAGTGCCACTTCTTATACTGTTGTACCCGTAGAATCAAGTTTTATTCTAGTTGTTGCTTAAAGTGGGACAATCCTCATCGACCGTGAGGGTGGCTGTGGCTGCTTGTGGCTGCGGTAACTACTGCTGTGCTGCTGCTGAGGCGAGGGTGCCCAGGATTGATAAACCTTCGGTACCGATTGGTTGCTTCTGGTATATCCAGATTTGATGGCCTCCATGGATTTTGGACCTCACTTTGACTGCCTGGTGGCTTCAAATCTGTCTTCCGTCTTATTTAAGACATGAGGATGATCTTAGGGATGGGCGGCTGAGCAAGCAGTCTCCCAGGAGCAGCGTTTGGGCGATTGGCCCGGCAAGCCCTGCTCTGAGTTTGGATCCCAGTGGACTGGGGATTCCAGGGAAAGGGTGAAAAGGGAAGAAAGAAATGCAGGGGAGGGTGGTGTTGGAAGTCCGACTATTGAGACTTCCTTTCGTGTTCTTGTTGTTCTTGTTGTTCTTGTTGTTCTTGATGATAATGATGTGGATTCAACGTTGATGTAACATTGATGTTGACGGTGGTGATGGTGATGGTGATGGTGATGGTGATGGTTGACGGTTGACGGTTGACGGTTGACGGTTGATGGTTGATGGTTGATGGTTGATATTGATATTGATGATGATGATGATGATGATGATGATGATGATGCAACTCACCATGTTTCGCTGGGCATGGACAACCTGGTGCAGTTGTTCCTGGGCTGAAGCCACATGAGCATACCCGCATTGTTAGAAGGCCATAGTGGCTACAGAGTGGGTTGGATCAAATTTCTACTCTGCACAGTTCGAAAGTGAATGGATTACCCCCAGACAGAGGAAATTAGAGGTGGAACATCCTACTGAAAAACAATCTACAATGGTGAGGTTTTCATTGCCAGGTTGGCGGATTTTGGAATCCATCCATCTTGGCCCCCGCCCCACATTTTCAGGCAATGAAAAAGGGGTCGAGATGACAACCATTTCACCTTGGTTCAATGCCACTGTGTCCATGACCACCACGGATGAGCCCAGTGAGGGAAACCCAGGAAAGGCACACCAGGCTGGCGATGATTTTCCTTTGCCAATCTGAAATTGTCGCAGGGATCTGCAAGGTAGCCCTAGCACTGATTGACACTTCTGGGCAGCCATGAGCAACGCCTTCTAAAGGTTGAATTCTTCAGTGCAAGATGCTAAGTATTCTTCTGGAGTTGGTGAACCCTAAAAACATGATGAAATCGTTTCATTTTCACCATCCTCCCAAGGTCCATGTGGCCGTTTGCTGCTGGACAACTGGGCCAAAGGACGCCAGGGCCTGGAAAGGGTAGACAGTCGCTTACACCTCCAAATGTTTGTCGCTTGTAACTCCGAATAGGGACCTAAAACCATTGCACTGATTTTTGTGAACTTATTATTACCTATTATCCTTGATTTGATTCTCACGTTGGGATATGGGAAACGTTAACATCCCACCCCACCCCACCCTTTGCTCAACCGGTACATGTGCCAGTGTCTGTGTGCCATTCTTGCTTTGCAAGTGCCAGGGAAGGGTAACATCCCACCGACCCCACCCCACCCGACACCACGGTGTTGATATTGTGGCGATCACATTTGAACATATACATTTGAGGCACCATTTGCAGGTCACCAATGCCAATTTCGACGTTAGGCCAATCATGATTGGCTTGAGCAGGGACCACACTGGAGTGACCGCAACTTCCACTGCTGCAGCCGCCCTGCCGCTCTTTGTCCCTGTAGCAGGGTTGGCAGGACTCCTTTGGTGACGACCAACCTCCATGATGACCCCCATGGTTCCATCTTGTGCAGCAGGGCGTTCGGGCGGTGACTTTGCACAAGGAGCAGGGTTTGAGCTATGCGCTTAAGAGAATCCTTCACAGTATTTGGAAGGTCCAGAAAGCCATAGAAACCGCAGCGCTTGAGATGAGCCAGAGCCTTTGGTGGTGCGCTTCTTCAGGGATCTTGCGTGTTCGTTTTGAAGGTGTTGAAAGACCTGGTGGGGACGTGCGACACTGACCACGTGTGGGGCACCGAGCGGCAGTTAAGACGACATATTGCTTGCATTGCCTAGAGTTTATCCATGCCAAAGGCATCTTACACAAAGCCATGTTCTGGATTCTTACAGCTTTTGCAAACTTGCAGATTTCGGTTCCCCCAAAATGGCTAGCGGTAGCGATCGTGCACAGACCTTTATCGGAACCCTAAACTATAATGGCGCCTGAAATAGTGCGGCAGGCCGGGCATGGGCCTGGGGTAGATTGGTTGGGTCTAGGCTGCGCTTGTTTGAACTTCTCACATCACGCAAAGCTCTTCGCTCGGAATGCTGGCCTTGCTAAGCTGCGCGCTGCAATATTGGCAGGAGTGTGCCCCTCGGTGATTGCAAGCCGTCCGCTGCAAAGAAACTCGTCATGGAACTTTGCGCGTTGGAGCCGGAGAACAGGCTCACTCGGGACAGTCAAATCCCATGCGTGGTTTGCCGGCTTCCCACCTTGGTGCTTGATGTGCATCTCCAGGCCCCGCCAAGAGCGCCCAGTTTGTAGCTGCTGTGCCCGAGGGCCCCAACGCAAAGTTTTTAACAGACTGGCGAAGAAGACAGGGCCCTAGCAAAATCCAGTATCCTAGCCGGGTAATGACGGTCAGCCACAACCGAGGACTCACGTAAGATAAGTTTCCAGCATTGTCCAATGATAACGTTGGGCCATTATATATGTTGCTTCAGTTTCTGGATCCGCTTTCCTATATTTGCTTTCATCGGCCCAGAGAATGCCTCATTATATAACAGAACTTGAGTATATAAACACAAAGCAGGTCATGTACCCCCCTCAGCTGTTCAGAAGCAGGACAGAATTTCAAGGTGGTGCTATTGTCAATTGAGACAGAAGGACCGGAGAATTTGTTTCGACGTTGTTGCGGCCTTGTTGATGGACTGATGCGCAAAGGAGGAGTCGGTTGTAGTTCAGTCACGCATGGTGAAATGCCATTTTGGAGAGACAACATATTGATGATCGCTGTTTATCATGTGTGAATGCTATCACCAAAAAAAACGAGATAAGAACACATACGCCGACAAAAGGCTTACGATTTCAACAAACGCTTGGATTACCATAGGATAAATTCCAAGTCTTGTTCAGTCAACCCAGGTTTGCTGGTTTGAGTTCGAAAATGTTCCCACCAGAAGCAGGACATTTCCCACTAAAACTGGGATTTTCCCACAAACAGATTGGCAGTCTCCGACAAAAATATGACTTTCCCTTCCAAAGACATGGATGCCCCATACGACTTGCAGGTTTTCCGGTGAAAAACAATTGGTTTTCCCACACGACGCCGGGCATTTTACCCTTCAAAAGCGGGGATTGCAGCAGATTTTGCCAGGAGCCTTCGGCAACGAGCTCTTCATCGTGGCTAAGGCGTTGGTTACGGCGCAGCGCCTTCAGTATCCAGTGCTGCTAACCAGGCGCGCTGGCGCCATGGGCAAGGTGCCATGGCAAGGGGATACTTGTGGGACCATCCCACGAATCGAAAGTCGAGGTATGTATGTATATAATATAATATAATATAATATAATTTAATTTAATTTAATTTAATATTAATATTAATATTAATATTAATATATATAAATATTGTCTATAATACAATATATTTATATGGGATAGTCAATAGTTTTAACCTGTCAGTTAGCCAATAAGTGTACTATTGGGATAAGTTAATAAGTGACTAGTAACTAACCAATTTACGATTGTTACCCACTGACGGGGATATGGTTTAGGGGAGTGCTATGCGGGGGTGGCCTGAAAACGATTTGCAACATCCTTGAAACTGTTTAGTTGGGATAGTTTTCAGAATCTGGGATGTAACAACAACAAAAAGTAAATTCATGGAGATTTACTGTAACCAGCAGAAACGATGATATAATATTGGATTCACAATATAATAACAAACTATAGGTAGGGCATGATTACGGGGATGATTATTGGGATAAGCATGATAGTTGGGAGGATAGAATCCGCAATGGGGATTTGATGTGGATATATATATATGTACAATCAGGTATACTTGATGTAATGTCAAATATGATGTAACGTATAGCAAAACATCTCCAATCATCAACCATTTGGGGGGTGTTATGAATCATCAAGTTGGGGTATACATAAGAGGTAGAACACAATTTATTTGGGTAGATTATTCTTGCGAATCCAACTTTACGGTCATATTTGTGTAAATTGTGGCTGTTTCGGGTCCATTTTGGGTCAACCATTTTCATCACCCAATGGGATTTCAAGAGATTCCGTTTGTTTTTCTTGGACACTTTATCAAAAGAATAATACTGAGACTTGTTTTAAAATCATCATAACCATATTATTTAAAAGCTATTTTTCCATCAATAAATCATCCAATTCCTGTTTTCCTCCAGGTTTCTGCGGCTATGTCAAACTGCCCCTGCAAGGCCCAGTCGGAAGCGGCAAATCCTGCAGCTTCCCTGCCTGCGAAGCAGCCTTGGCCTTCAAAGAGCGGCGGAGGTCCGCTGGGTTGGCGGTGCTGGCAAAACTGCAGGGGCAAATTGCGTTTCCAATGGTTGAAAGTGTCAGTTCAAGGCGAAATGCGTTTATATATGTATATATTATATAAAATATACACATAATATTATGCATATGTATATATATATATATAATATATATATATATATATATATATAATATATATAATATATATATATACATATGCACCAGGCCCTGCCACCCCCCCTCCCCCAATGGGATGGGTCCCATATACTGCCTCCATATGAGATCTTCCCCCTCCCCCTCCTGTGGTGTGGTGGGGTGTGGTACTGTCCCCCTCCCCCCCCTGTGGTGTGGTGGGGGTGTGGTATGGTGTTGGGTATGTATGGTGTGTATGGTCGGTCTGGTATGGCATGTTTGGAAAGTATGGTATGTTTGGTATGTATGGTAGGTATGGTATGTATGGCATGAATGGTTGGCATTGTATGGATGGTAGGTATGGTATGTAAGCCTGTTGGGTATGGTATGTTTGATATGACAGTATGTATGGTCTGTATGGTATGTATGGTTACTATGATGGGTCTGGAATGTTTCCTATGTAAGGTAGGTATGGTATGTATGGCATGTATGTTTGGTATTGTATGCATGGTAGGTGTGGTAATTATGTTTCATATGTATGGTATGTGTGGTATGTATGGTATGTGTGGTATGTATGATAGGTATGATAGGTATGGTATGCATGGCATCATTGGAATGTATGGTAGGCACGGTATATGTTAAAACACATGTAGTGTTGTCAGAGTACACAGGTAGTAAATAGGAGGTAGATACATAGCACATGTATATGACTATAGGTAGCACGTAGGTACTTTGAGGCAGTATGTGTGCTACGTAGGTCGCTTAAAAGGTAGCATGAACCTAGTACATGCGAGGCTGGTAGACAGAAATGCTGCAAAGACCTAGCAAATACGAAGCTGGACCTCAGAAATGCTGCCAATAGCTTGCAAATAGAAGGGAAGGGGGGTGCTACCTGGGGACCCAACCCATTGGGGGGGGTGGTGTGGAGAGACGGAGGACGGGACCATATATGTATATATATATATATGTATATATGTATATATATATATGTATATATATACATATATGTATATATATATATATGCAAAATTGAAAGTTTTTTGTTTTGTTTTTCTTAGTTTCGTTCAAAGGTTTTTGACAAAATTTGAAAGTGACATGTCCCCGTTGGAGATTACATATCCATGATGATGAAAACCATATCCAACAAGCCAAAGGTGACGTTCAAAATCCACCAAACAGGACCTTTCAATGAACTTTCGAAGCAACAAATTTACACGTCGGAAATCGAACACGGCTGGGATTTCCCAGAACTCAATGGACGTTTTTGGCTGAGAAAATCATCGAACTAAATGAGGGATTGATCCCGCGGATGCCTCAGGAGATGTGTCCTGGTTGCGGATCAGCCATAGCCTCAGAGCCGCTGTTGGGACCTTCATTTATCCAGCTTTGCATCCTGAAAATTGCAGGTACATCGGTACACCTGTTGGGCCTACTTTTGCTCCATTTTCACAAAAAATGAACTGGTGGGTGGTTTCAGTTCTGTCTTACTCCTTGATCCTCATTTAGAAAGATTCACTCCAATGGACAACTCGAAGGACAAAGCCCACTGGGTTGCAAGAGCAGTTGAAACATAGACTTCCCAAAGTTGCAGCCCCAAGCCATTTCGAGAACAACCTTGTTGAAAATGCCCGTCGCAAGGAGAAGTTTTGGGACGACAGGAGCACTGGGGCTGAAACGCTGAAGCGATTGAAGTACTTGGAGTTCCCAACGGTATTTTCCGAGGCATGATATTTGGGGCCATGGTTCATGCAATTTCTAGATTCTATTCTGTTTGAGACGAGTAGAATTGGTAGAGCGTACAAAGCTACAGCAAGCCACAGATTGTGGTCATTTGTGGTAAAGCGTCATGCTATTTTTGCCCCCCTGAGGTGTACCCAGATATGTTTGATTCGGATTTCTTGGGTCATCATCCTACTATATAGCCAACTATTTGATCCAGACGACTTGCTAAAGATTTCAAGCTTCTCAAAACCTGGTTACACCTTGGGAGACTGTAGGAGCTCCAAGGGCCGCAACTGGATGCGACATTTTGCTGGCTGCACCAGCAACTTGAAATCTTCTCACCCTGAACAAGTTCTGGTATTTCTCAAAACTTGGTGGAGGCAAAGATAAGTACATGTGAACCATCAAGTATGGGGTATGATATGGTGGTCAAACCTTGGGTCAGTGCAAAATCCACTGCGAACTTGATTCTATCACACAAGAATTAAGAAGGGTAAGAAGGGGCTGGAATTCGCATGCCCAACTTTGTAGCCAGGAGTAAGGCGTGCAATAGGCCAGGGCCATGGGTGAGATTCTGTAAGGGTTGGCTCATCAACTCACCAAAATGAAGCCCGAAATTTCCAAAGTGAACCCCTTTCCCAAGGAGAGATGCAATGAAGTGCAGACCTCCTTTGTGTGTTCCGTTTTCTTAGCCACTGATTTTTTCCCCATCCGATCAACCCCCTAGAAATCCTACAATTGCAACTATGCATCCTCGAATCCTCGCAGGGGCTACGGATGTTTGGAGCTCCTCCGCAAACAGGTCGCAGCTGACAGCCAATGGGAGGTTAGAACCCAATCAAGACTGGATGGGTGTCTGAAATTCTTAGCACAGCCCACTCTATGTCCATCTTTAGGTGGGAACACAAGGTCTCAAACCACCGTTTTTTTTTTAAACCTACCCTATTTTCAAACAAACCGGAGTGGGGAGTTTTTGTGTGACCTGGACTCCTTACCAAGCTCGCAGAGTCTGTGTGTCCCACCGGACCTCGTCACTTAGAATACATGTCCGAATGCATGTCTACTTACTTTATGTCACGCGCCAGAATAGGTGTCAGAATATATGTCAGAGGTGATGTCAGAACTAAATATATGTCACAAAATTTGGCGGAGCAGATGTTAGAATAAATGTCAGGATAGATGCACGAATATGTCACATGACATTTGCCAGATGAAATGCCAGAATTTATGGCAGGATGTGTCAGGATATCAGGATAGACGTCAGAATACGTCAGAAGATTTGTCAGACTACATGTCAGAGTCTATAAGCTCCAACATATTTCAGAACCAGCGTCAGAAGAAATGTCAAGATGCGGAAGTGTCATCATATTGTCTGACAGTTGTTGCTATGTGGGGGTTCGGACGAAGTAAAGTACTGTAATGGGCTCAAAACGGGTTAGAAACATTGATAAACCTTTGGAATTGGTTGGTTGATGAAAAGGTTTCACATCCAAGAAGTAAATGATAGTCAATTGCAGCCCACAAACCAGTCCCTCTATTGTTGCCATTCTGGGAGAGCGGTCGTCAAAGTTCTTCCTGCTTTCTAGCCTGACCCAGGAAACATGGCAACAAGAACACACACACACACATGGATGTTTATGAATGTATCTACACCCGAAATTCGCATATGTCAGAACTTCAAACCTTGAAACCGATCGTCTGTTTTGTGTTCAACTTTGATATAGGGTTTGCACGCTTGGATGCGTTACCAACGGCGCCCAGCAAGAGGCGTACTTTTGGGCGGGAACCCCTCCTTAACAAAATCTCGTGAAACTGGTGTAGGGAGATGTGGGATCCTAATCTTGTCTACAGACACTTCTGATTACCGGCCACTTCTACCCATGAGAAATTGAGTATTTAACCATTGTGGCTGCAGGAAAAATGCATATGTTGTGACTCGCTTTCTATTTCCATCAAAAAATGAAGAAATTGGTGGCTGAGATAACAACCCCCTTGCTGCATCTTGCTGCCTTATTCGTCCAGCTGGCAGAAACGTGTCATGGACCCCGGCGCCGGTGGATTTCATCAGGCAGGGGCGGCAGGGTGCCTGAAGTACAGAGCAAGCCATATAGAAACAATTAGAAACAAATAGAAACGAGAAAAATAAGAAAAGGATGCCTAACTCCGAACGGTCCGAACGGTCCTCACATTTGTTTTTACACATGTTCATCCCTTCCTGATTTCTCCTTTTGATGGGTGCTTCAGACAGCAACCATGTCCGAAAAGTTGGAGCATAACGGCAAAATAGCATCACATCGCAACAATACTGTAATCAACAGCAATTCTTTCCCCCTCAAATTGAATACCCGGCAATTGGATCTTTTCATCTTTGGGGCCCGAATGCGGGGCTTTCTATGTTATATAATCCCCCATTATATTTATGGTTAAAGCATGTTTTCGCTGTATAAAAAAATGCGGGTCAACAGAGGTCAACATTTTTTTTGTTGGTCAACTCATTATTTTTGCGGGTGTTCCATGCCGCCCACCAAGCCGGGGGGTCAGGACCTTGGTGAGTGGAAGGAGCCACCCTTGTCCTGGCGCCCGCTGCTGGCTGAGGCCCAAGGGGGCTTTCCAAAAGCACGACATAGATTACATGACACGATTTGTGTGTGAAAATGTGGAGAGGTTTGTTAATCTGGATGCTTGCGGTTGTTACTACGACAGAAGTGGATGTTACCACGACGGAATAGTATCTCCAAAGGATATCCCTTTGTTTCTGCAAAGGGCCGCCTTGTTTCTCTTCTCTAGCTAGTTCCGGCCAAACCAATCTCTATCGTTAGACTTCTTGGCCCGGATAGTTGGATGTTGTCAGACTCAGAGGACATCGCGATGAGACGTTGAGAGCCCAATCAGAATTCGCCGCAGAGCACACTACATCATGAAGGTAGGAACTCCGCAGGATGTAGACAACGACACTGCCGAATTCTTCCTGAAATCGGTTCAGATGACAACGGTGGAATCGCTGCGCATTCTCTGGGTACAACACAATATTTTCGAAGATGTCCAGGCGAGAGCCGTGCAGGGCTTCGCTTGAGGTACTTCGCGGATGTGATGGTATGATTTCTTCTGGCATGTATTTGTCCCCAGTATTGTAGAGTGTCACTAGGTTTCCTTCTGAGCATAGATGGAACATGATGGAACTAACACCTGTCGTTTCTTTGCCGTTTCTTTGTCGTGAAATGGATCCGGTTTAATGATGTTCAATGACCGTTTACAGTTCAAATATAAAGTAAAAACCAAACACCAGCACCTGGTCTTATCCATCTCTGCAAATCTTATACGTGTCAGAATCCGTAACAGAATCATAAGCCGCATGTGTTTTGACCACAATCAAGCGAGATCTGCCTTCGGTTCCTCTGTGTCATGTCTGCAGCATGGCCGTGTGAATTTCGAAGAGCTCAGGCGACCTGTACCACGGTCACAGACACACCGCGGTGGATCTCGAGCAGCGGCATCTTCTTTTTTCTGCCTCTTTCTCTTCTCTTCTCTTCTCTGGCTCTTCCCACCTCTGCTTTCCATCTGTCCATATTGTCGGAGGTTTGACTTCTAAACTTCCTTCGACAAATTATGGAGCTCAACATCCCGGTTTTAATTTGTTATACAAAATTTGTTCCTTTGATATCTTACGTAGGACTGCCAGAAGAGATAGAATTGCCGACATTTCAATCCTGATGCTTTCAAAGCTGTATTCTGGACGGTTGACCCAGCCTGCGCAACTTTTGATTATAGATCTTAATCGAAGAAAAACACCAATGGTAACGAACATATTTCGTCACAAATGAGGGTGCTTTCCGCCGATACAGCAGGCCGTGTCCAGTGATGACGCTAGCTTGCTTCCGGCATGACAAGCGCACGAGGACAGCAGTGATAATTGACATGAAGTGATAACTATTTTCGTTCTTCTGGTATTTCGACCCGTGGCTCACGCGGTAAAAACGAAAAAGGTACCAACGTCTTATTCAAGAAGAAATATACATAGCAAATTCTGCGTTAAAATGATTTGTTTTGAAAATGGTTTCAAGACACGCGCACAGATTATCTAATTTCAAGAGCAATGAAAAACCTGTTTTCTGAAGGTCCAGCACGGGTAGGTACGGATTACAGTTTTTATGGGTACGGCACGGTGGGTACGGAGTCTTGGTACGCTGGTACGGTCTCTTGGCAGTGGTACGGTACGGTGGGTACCTACTGTACCTACCGTACCGTGCTCATGGTACCCACCGTACCGTACCCACCGTGCCCACCGTACCGTACCCCCAAAATTGCTTGCTGTAGCAAACAAGTTGCTCGCTATAGCAAGTTGTTCGCTATAGTAAGCAATTTGCTTGCTATAGCAAACAATTTTGAAGGTAGTACCGTGCCCACCGTACCGTACCACCCAACCCAATGTACCGTACCACCGTACCCACCGTACCTCACCACCGTACCCACCGTACCGTACCGCCGTACCCAACCTACCGCACCCTTCACCGTACCATCATTTTTTGAGGACCGTACCCTTCCGCAGAACATTACTCTTGAAATTAGATAACGCACAGATCCTTTGTTTCAAACTTTGAAACATGGTTTTGCTAGCGGCTAGCGAATTGAGACAGACATGTTGGTTCCAACGTTTTCCCAGTGCAGAACATGTGCCAGCTTTGGCAACTTTGTAGATAGCAACTACAAGTCATGTGCGGACAGCGCAGTGAAGAGTCGCTTGTTTTTGGATGTTTTTGGGATGTTTTTTTTGTGCAGATCCTCTTTCTGCAAGTCAGCTGTGTCGTCAACCTTGGAGCTCAAAGCTTTTCATGTTATGGCAAAATTTTCATAAGCACATCTGTGACATCCGTTGGTTGATTTTTCACAAAAGAAGGATTTACACAACCGTTTTGATGTCAAATCCATCTAGAACACGCAAACAAATTGCCAGGCACAGCGCGCAGCGTGCACGTCTTTTTGAATCCATGCTACTGCTAAGAAGGCTTGCCATGGTTTCTACAAGAGAGAAACAAAGGCGGCCCTTTGTTTGGCCGGAGCTAGCTGAAGAAGAGAAACAAAGGCAGTTACATTTACAAAGGCGCGCCCTTTATATATAGATGCAAAGGCGCCCCTTCGGTTGTCCGGAACCAGGTGGAGAGGAGAAACAAAGTAAACAAAGGTAGCTCTTTGTAGAAACGAAGGAATGTCCTTTGGAGATGCTAGTCCATCGGGGTAATATCAACAAAGTAAACACAGGTACCCTTTTGTAGAAACAAAGGTATATCCTTTGGAGATGTTAGTCCGTCGTGATAACATCCACTTTTGTCGTGGTAGCCGGCGACCCGTTGTCGAAACTAAGCCACCAAGCGTCGTAGTAAGATGAAGGCCGCCTTGCCTGGCATGACATGAGATAGGCTACACAACCTCGAAGATGTGACTTGCTTGTCACATGTCTTGACATTGCCTTGGAATATGTTTGTTTGACATGGGCGACTTTGCAAGATGACTTAGAACATGTTTGTTTGTTCAAAATGTGCTACTCAATTTTCTTTTGCGTTCGACTTTACTTCCTTGCTTGACAACCTACATTAATGTGATTTGTTTCGTGTTTGGCGTTGATGATTTTTCTTGTGACTTTCCTTGCGACATTAAAACAAATCAAATTTGTACTTTTTTTTGCTGTGGGGGCGAGGTTCGAATTTGGTACTTCAATTTCGATAGAAATTGATGCGGTCTGGGTGACGTGATATTACGCTTTAAGATGTTGTCATCTCCGTGGCATGACATTGTGTTCGAAAATGTTGCAACCAACATGACCTCATCACACCCGAAGGTGCGGTTGGTTACATGATTTATATGACAGGGCTTTAGGTCTGATCATGTGAAAATGAGGCTGCCTACATGACATGAACATGACATGATATCTCATTTGAATTCATTTGAAGGTTTGGTCGCTGAAATTACATGACATTATATACATTGAAAATGCGTCACTCTTTTACGGGAAAAAAACGGGAAGATGTGCGTTGGATATCTGCCTTCGGGTATGCTTCATGGATGTAGGTATTGAACCATGAACATACCCATCCAAGTTTGGGTGACCCAATTCGGGCCCCGATTTCATCCAACAAGTTCTGCTCCCCAGCCTGGAGCCGGCAAGGCCTTCCAAGTGGACATGCCCCAGATGAAAACTGAAGTCATCATGCCCGGCAATGAAGATTTGGTGATGTACTTCCGACCCTATCGGAGAAAACAGGTGCCGGAAATGTCCAGCTGGACCGTGGTCCACCGTTTTGGTTGCCAAGTGTCTAAGGAGCTGAAGAAACACCAAGATATGATGATCGAATTTGCCGTCCGCATGTATCCTTGCTTGAGAGTTTTCAACATTGGGTGCTTTGATGATTCCTGCCTCTTTTGCTTTTCAATTCCTGTTATAGTTTATTGGCAGTCTACTAGTCTACCCAGGGATTTATGTCTTCGAGATAGTTTGAAAGCAACAGCCCTAGCCTGACATGGATATTGAACAAACGACGGAACTGATGGCAGTGCTGGCAGATCTTTGATTTGCGGGGAGACCATGCCTTTCTGACCTCTCCGCCCTTCGCCTTCTTTGACTTTGCGGCGGGGGTTGGGATTTGATATCGTTGGGGGCTGCCTGTTGGTACATCGGTCGGGGATGAACGCAACTGCATTTTTTTTTTGCAACCAGTCATTGAGACGGTGCAGGGTGAAGAGTTTTGGACTCGAGAGAGCTGGTATCAGTGGCAACTTCCGAGAACTAACCTCTGATGAAGGTGTAGAATCTAAGGTTGGGCAGGTGGAGAATTTTTGTTTTCTGTTGCAAATATATGGGTGAGATTGATGTCCCATTTTTGTCACACAAGTTTTCAATTCCATGGCCGTATTTGAACCAATCTTCCTTGGTTATTGGTTTCGTTGTGCTACAAACCATATAATCAAACGCATTCAATTTTTGTTGGCTTTACATACTGACTGTACCTCATTCTCGTTGATGAATTCCAATTATGTTTGATCGCCAATTGCACTGCTTCGGCACAGATCATTCCAGACGTTCACAGGTGCAGCAACATCGGAGGGATTTTCCCAGTGGGAAGCTCTTGGCGAGGCCCTCAGGAGTTCAGGGTGCCTGAATGGTCCCCGCAATGGCAATTTTGAAAGTGTCGAGAGTGACAATGATGATATGCCATTGCAAACATTGCATTGTTCTTGCAGGGGACATCTTATTGTTGTGCAAACCAAGAGGTCCAGTGCAGAATCTGGGTTTCTGGAGTGTTTCTCTCCAAGGCCTGTAGGACAGGATCTGCAGAGTATCCAAAGCGAGGTGCAGATGGACACCATCATTTTCATTTGGACATCAATTTGCATTTGGTGGTGGTTCAAAGTCCAATTTTTTCCGCCTTGCCTTGATGATAATATACATTGTCCCACTTGACCAAATTTGTGGGCCCTTTGGTACTGTATTTCTTTATCCATCCTCATTTATCTCATTTTCTTGTCCACTTTGGTCAGAGGTTTGGTCAAACATCACCTTCTGCTCGTATACACTAGTGGCCAAGTCCCTTCAAAGATGAAAGCAAGGTGAAAGCAAGGAAAAACGGCGAACAGGATCGACATGGGCGTCTTGAAATTGGATGAACTTGGATAGTTTACTACTTAACTTAGACCTGACCAAACTCTATTTTTCTAAACGTCAACCCTGGATTACTAACAGCCAGGGTGGGTTCCCAATATTCTGTGATGAATATTACCAGTAGTACCGCACAAGGCGGTGGCGGAAGTTTCAAAAATAGGAAACCTATAGGAGAGGTTGGTTGTTGTGAATCAGGGATGGCAGAGCGAAGCCACTGATGGACCAAAAGGTGCTTGAGGTCTCCTCTCTTTCTCTCTCTTTCTCTGACTATCTACCTACCTACCTACCTAGCTAGCTAGCTAGCTAGCTAGCTATCTATCTATCTATATTTCAAGCGAGTGACTTAGGACTTGTGAAAGATACCCCGGTGTGGCCAAGTCCTATCTCATCATGCGTCGGACCCCCCTTGGACAAGTCCCAACTCATCAGGTGTCCGATGAGATTAGAAACTATGTTTGATTTTTTTTAGTGCGGCATGGACCACTCGTAAAACCATGATGACATAGGAATGAACTAGCAGAAATATATTAAGATGATCCTAAGTCATCACGCTCGTAGTGCAACGTGGACCACAATAGGGAAACACAACAAGAAGTGGGAAACCTCTATGAAATGACCTCTCCGTCATCTCTATGAAATGCTTCGTAAAGCATCTTGGGGCACAATCAAGGTTTTTTTTTTTTCCACTTTTCATTTTTCTCTGTTGTTTCCCGTTTTGTTTCCCCGTTGTGCTTCCCTATTGTATTCCCCGTTGCACTACCCCGTCGTTGGGTCGAAGTCCTCGAGCCAATCGTTGAAAAAATGATGACTTAGGACTTGTGCCCATCTTCAAAAAAAACACAAAAATCTGTGATTTTCCATTTTTTCCTTCGATTTATATACAAACAGTAGTTTAAAGCAATTAAATAAATTGAAAACTATAAATATTTTTTTTTCACTTTTCATGTTTCTCTGTTGTTTCCCGTTTTGTTTCCCCGTTGTGCTTTCCTATTGTATTCCCCGTTGCACTACCCCGTCGTTGGATCGAAGTCCTCGAGCCTGCATTTCCGCCAACGCGCGCGCGCATTAAAGCGAAAACGACTCGTTGCATTGGGATCACCGCCCCGGGGAGGCACAACGGGGTGTTACAACGAGGAGACACAACGGGAGGCCAATAACGGGGAAATGATGCAAAATGAGAAATGTCACCTTTACAGTGTGAAAACTAGAAAAAGCAGCTTGTGTAACATAGTGACAAGTTAAAATGTGTGCATATCTATCTGAAAAAAATAAAATCACAGATTTTTTTTGAAATATTTTTAAGATGGGCACAAGTCCTAAGTCATCATTTTTTCAACGATTGGCTCGAGGACTTCGACCCAACGACGGAGTAGTGCAACGGGGTCCACAATAGGGAAGCACAATGGGGAAACAAAACGGGAAACAACAGAGAAAAATGAAAAGTGGAAAAACATATATTTATATTTTTCAATTTATTTATTTGCTTTAAAATACTGTCTGTATATAAATCGAAGGAACAAATGGAAAATCACATATTTTGGTGAAATATTTTTTTTTGAAGATGGGCACAAATCCTAAGTCATCATTTTTTCAACGATTGGTTCGAGGACTTCGACCCAAAAACGGGGTAGTGCAACGGGGAATACAATAAGAAAGCACAACGGGGAAACAAAACGGGAAACAACAGAGAAACATGAAAAGTGAAAAAAAAATATATTTTTCAATTTATTTAATTGCTTTAAACTACTGTTTGTATATAAATCGAAGGAAAAAATGGAAAATCACAGATTTTTGTGAATTTTTTTTTTTTTTTGAGATGGGCACAAGTCCTAAGTCATCATTTTTTCAACGATTGGCTCGAGGACTTCGACCCAACGACGGGGTAGTGCAACGGGGAATACAATAGGGAAGCACAACGGGGAAACAAAACGGGAAACAACAGAGAAAAATGAAAAGTGGAAAAAAAAAAAACCTTGATTGTGCCCCAAGATGCTTTACGAAGCATTTCATAGAGATGACGGAGAGGTCATTTCATAGAGGTTTCCCACTTCTATTGTGGTCCCCGTTGCGCTACCCCGTTTTTGGGTCGAAGTCCTCGAGCCAATCGTTGAAAAAATGATGACTTAGGACTTGTGCCCATCTCCAAAAAAAAAATATTTCACAAAAATCTGTGATTTTCCATATTTCCTTCGATTTATATACAGACAGTATTTTAAAGCAATTAAACAAATCGAAAAATATATTTTTTTTTCCACTTTTCTCTGTTGTTTCCCGTTTTGTTTCCCCGTTGTGCTTCCCTATTCTATTCCCCGTTGCACTACCCCGTTTTTGGGTCGAAGTCCTCGAGCCAATCGTTGAAAAAATAATGACTTAGGATTTGTGCCCATCTTCCAAAAAAATATTTCAAAAAAAAAATGTGATTTTCCATTTGTTCCTTCGATTTATATACAGACAGTATTTTAAAGCAATTAAATAAAAATATTGAAAAAATTCAATGTATTGGGATGTAATGTATTGTATTGTAATGTAATGTAATATATGTATGTACGTTCTGATGACTTAGGACTTGTGCCCCTCTGGTGACAGACGATTTCCAAGTCCTTTGCATGTATGTACTGTAACGTACTGTACTGTAATGTAATGTACTGTAGTGTAATGTAATGTACTGCACTTTACTGTAATGTAATGTAATGTACTGTAGTGTAATGTACTGTATATACGGTACTGAAATGTACTGTAAGTATGTAGGTCCTGATGACTTAGGACTTGTGCCCCTTTGGTGACATACGATTTTGTGCACCAAGTCCTACGCATGGATGTAGTGTAATGTAATGTAATGCAGTGTAGTGTGATGTAATGTAATGTACTGTAAGTATGTAGGTTCTGATGACTTAGGACTTGTGCCCCTCTGGTGACATACGATTTTGTGCACCAAGCCCTATGCATGTATGTACTGTAATGTACTGTAATGTAATGTAATGTACTGTAGTGTAATGTACTGTATATACTGTACTGAAATGTACTGTACGTATGTAGGTCCTGATGACTTAGGACTTGTGCCCCTTTGGTGACATACGATTTTGTGCACCAAGTCCTACGCATGGATGTAGTGTAATGTACTGTACTGTAATGTAATGTAACGCAGTGTAGTGTAATGTAATGTCATGTACTGTAATGTACTGTAAGTATGTAGGTTCTGATGACTTAGGACTTGTGCCCCTCTGGTGACATACGATTTTGTGCACCAAACCCTATGCATGTATGTACTGTAATGTACTGTAATGTAATGTATTGTACTGTAGTGTAATGTAATGTACTGCACTTTACTGTAATGTAATGTACCGTAGTGTGATGTAATGTCCTGTACTTTACTGTAAGGTAATGTAATGTACTGTAGTGTAATGTACTGTACTGTACTGTAATGTTCTGTAAGTATGTAGGTTCTGATGACTTAGGATTTGTGCCCCTCTAGTGACATACGATTTTGTGCACCAAGTCCTGTGCATGTATGTAATATAATGTACTGTAATGTGCTGTAATGTAATTTAATGTACTGTAGTGTAATGTAATGTACTGTACTTTACTGTATTGTAGTGATGTAATGTACTGTACTGTAATGTAATGTAAGTATGTAGATTCTGATGACTTATTAAGAGAAGATTTTATTTTTTATTTTTAACTTAAAAAGTGCTTGAATCCAATCACAACCCCAGTGACTTAGGACTTGGTGCACACAAATCACCTGGTAAGAACACCAGTGACTTAGGACTTGGTGCACAAAATCCTATGTCACTATGGTGGCCTAAGTCCTAAGTCACCAGTCCGAAATATATCTATGTATCTATTTATCTATCGATCTATCTCTCTCTCTCTCTCTTCCATCTAATTACCTATCTATCTATCTATCTGTCTGTCTGTCTGTCTGTCTGTCTGTCTGTCTATCTCTCTCTCTCTCCCTCTTTCATCTGTCTATCTGTCTAGCTGTCTACCTGTCTATCTATCTATCTATCTGTCTATCTGTCTACCTGTCTATCTGTGGTGCAGTGTCATTCAGTGTAATGTAGTGTAGTGTAATGTGGTGTAGTGTAGTGGATTGTAGTGGAATGTAGTGTAGTGTAGTGTAGTGTAATTTAGTGTAGTGGAGTGTAGTGGAGTGTAGTGGAGTGTAGTTGTGTAGTTGTAGTTGTAGTTGTGGTTGTAGTTGTAGTGTAGTGGAGTGTAGCGTAGTGTAATGTAGTGAAGTGTAGTGGAAGGTAGTGTAGTGTAGTGTAGTGTAATGTAGTGTAGTGGAGTGTAGTGTAGTGTAATGTAGTCTAGTGTAATTTAGTGTAGTGGAGTGTAGTTGTGTATTTGTAGTTGTAATTGTTGTGTAGTGGAGTGCAGTGTAGTGTAATGTAGTGAAGTGTAGTGGAAGGTAGTGTAGTGTAGTGTAATGTAGTGTAGTGTAGAGGAGTGTAGTGTAATGTAGTGTAGTGTAGTGTAATTTAGTGTAGTGGAGTGTAGTTGTGTAGTTGTAGTTGTAGTTGTAGTGTAGTGGAGTGTGGTGTAGTGTAATGTAATGTAGAGAAGTGTAGTGGAAGGTAGTGTAGTGTAGTGTAATGTAGTGTAGTGGAGTGTAGTGTAATGTAGTGTCGTGTAGTGTAATTTAGTGTAGTGGAGTGTAGTTGTGTAGGTGTAGTTGTAGTTGTAGTGTTGTGGTAGGGTACAGTATAACCATGATAAGGATACAGAAACAAAGATAGGGTTTCAGTAACGCTGGTAAGGACATTTGGTTAAAACGACAAGATCACTACCGTTATAACTTTAGTAGTAATAGTAGTAATACATTATCATTCTATGTATGTATATATAAGCATTAGTAGTAATACATTATCATTCTATGTATGTATATATAAGCATTAGTAGTAATACATTATCATTCTATGTATGTATATATAATCATTAGTAGTAATACATTATCATTCTATGTGTGTATATATAATCATTAGTAGTAATACATTATCATTCTATGTATGTATATATAATCATTAGTAGTAATACATTATCATTCTATGTGTGTATATATAAGCATTAGTAGTAATACATTATCATTCTATGTATGTATATATAATCATTAGTAGTAATACATTAATATGACCGATAACTGTTTTGCGTGTTCATTATTATGCAATTTTTGGCTTTTGGTCAACGACAAGATGGGAGATCCCTGGCCGTATCCGATTGCAGGGAGCCCCAGCATCCTGTGAGGGGCATCTGAAGCGTTGCATCTCAAAGCTGGGTGACGCATAGCTGGGTGACGTGGCATTGCCCAGCGACATGTCCTAAGCGCAATCAAGGGTTGTGGAGGTTATGCGATTTATGCCACTTGAGAAGACTGAGGCCCAACTGCCTGGTGTGCTTTCATGGTGAAGTTCTTTCAAGGCACATCTGTCAGATTTGTCAAATGCAACCAGTTCGGCAAAGTGGACCAAAACAACTAACTTCTAGCTGCCTTGATGTTGGTCCCGTAACCTTTCTCCAACTGGTGCCGTGAGCTTTCTCCAATTGATCCAGTGAGCTTTCTCCAATTGGTCCCGTGAGTTTTCTCCAATTGATCCAATGAGCTTTCTCCAATTGATCCAGTAACCTTTCTCCAACTGATGCCGTGAGTTTTCTTCAATTGGTCCCGTGATCTTTCTCCAAGTGGTCCCGTGATCTTTCTCCAATTGGCCCCGTGAGCTTTCTCCAGCCGGTCCCGTGAGCTTTCTCCGACTGGTCCCGTGAGCTTTCTCCAACTGGTCCTGTGAGCTGTCTCCAATTGGTCCCATAATATTTCTTCAACTGGTGCCGTGAGCTTTCTCCAATTGATCCAGTGAGCTTTCTCCAACTGGTCCTGTGAGCTTTCTCCAACTGGTCCCGTGAGCTTTCTCCAATTGATCCAGTAACCTTTCTCCAACTGATGCCGTGAGTTTTCTTCAATTGGTCCCGTGATCTTTCTCCAAGTGGTCCCGTGATCTTTTTCCAACTGGTCCTGTGAGCTTTCTCCAACCGGTCCCGTGAGCTTTCTCCGACTGGTCCCGTGAGCTTTCTCCAACTGGTCCTGTGAGCTGTCTCCAATTGATCCAGTGAGCTTTCTCCAATTGATCCAGTGAGCTTTCTCTAATTGATCCAGTGAGCTTTCTCCAATTGCTCCTGTGAGCTCTCTCTAATTGATCCAATGAGCTTTCTCCAATTGATCCAGTAATCTTTCTCCAACTGATCCAGTAACCTTTCTCCAACTGATGCCATGCGCTTTCTCGAAGTGGTTCTGTGAGCCTTCTCCAAGTGGTCCCAGGCTGGAAGACTATACTCCTCTTTGCGCCGGGTGCTGAGACAATCAGTAGCAGTTGAAGCATCAAGAATATTATTCGATGGTATCAGGTTCAGGTAGTGCCCTGCTTTGCCCTGTATGTCAGAGACGTTGTTTGCTGCTGCCCTCTTTTGGCTGCTAAGTGAATCACACCTGAATGAAGTTGTGGAGGCTAGAGGTTGAGAATTCTTAAGGCTTAGCATGCCCAGGCTCGATCAAACCTGCGCGTTTCGACATATACGAGTATATACATATATATATAATAAATATAATAACGGCAAACCACAATGCCATCATGTGTACACATTCACAAACATTTTGAGAAAGAATTTGCCAGACATCCTGGGTGGCGACATGGCTGCGCGCGTGCTGTTGGAGAAATGGTTGTCGGGGCCGCCGCCAAAGCCAACGGGGATTGCGTCTGTGGCTTCTGAAGATTGCCGGCAAAGCCATTGCGAGGCTGGTGCGCACGTTTTTACAACTTTGCCGTTCACGATATCAACCGTCTTGATAGCTTCTTTGTTTTTTGGTTAGTTTCTTCGATACTTGTCAGAGGAATTAGTACTAGGCATTGTCAAACCTTTTCCACTTGTGCCCAAGTATCCTTTTACCAAGTGGCCCAAAGACCTTTCAGCACATGGCGCAACCGGTCGAAATAGATTTGTTCAGCGGCTTCCGAGACTTTTCTCCAACTCGCCCAACAACGTTTGTCCAAAAGATCTTTCTCCCAAGACCTTTCTTGAAACCAAGACTCTTTTTGAACTGGTTGGAGTCCTCCACCCGTTGCCTTGACTCCAATCAGTCCCAAGATTTTTTCCAACTGGAACAACGATCTTGCTCGAGCAACCTCCTACAGGACTAATTCAATGCAGACCTATCCATCTGTCTGATCTTCAAACGCTGAGACTCACGCCTATACTTGTCAGTTTTCCTGCCGTGTTGGCAGCTTGTGACGATCCTAGGTTGGACAGAAAGTGCTGCAGAACGAGCCGCACAGGCACTTTCAGTGGACAAAAGCTTGCGACCTTTTCAATCAGTGGTTGCATGGCCGCTTCATCCCTTGGCAGCTTGAGAATTGCTGCCATCAACGCCAGCCAAGTGGTGATGCTGGCTAGCTGTGAGTTTGTTAATTCTTCAGTTGAAAGTAAACTCAACCACGTAAATATTGTGATTAGCTGGTTGAGCCTGCTATCCCAATTATTCTATCGATCAAAGTTGGCATTGCATGTTAGGATTTGTCGGGCTCAGCAGGATTGCTACTGAACACAGATGTGTTACCAAACCCGAGAGCTACATTGAAGCATGGTTAGCAGTGCTTGGTGAGGTTTACTGAACGCTGGGTGTGGAGCGTCATCTTTTTCCCAGCAGATGCAGTTGGAAGAAGCGGTCTCTTTGATTGATTCCTTGTTTCATTGGCACTGAGGCCTCTCCAGCCTCTCCTGTCTCCCAGGATTCACAGATGGACAGTTTGCAGTTGCAGGCGGGTAAGTGAGGAAAAGTAGGAAAGTATCAATAGTGTTTCGCCAGAAACATTCATGGCTTTACGTGCTGGTTGTTTAGCTGACAGACTGCCTAAACTCGCTGATGAATTTGGTTACAACTCACGAGTTGTTCTGGTGATCGTTATCGCTAACGCTCGCAAAACGCACATTTTAGCGCAGCTCAGCCATGGCTGAGCATTAACAGTTGCCAAATTGAACCAGCCACCTTCCTTTTGCATGACAAGCAGGTAGCAGTCAACCAAATTGGCAGGTCGAATTGACCCTGGTCAATTCGTTCCAAGTCTGAGTGGGCATCCCTCTCTTGACCCATGACGTCTCCCAGGTGTCCATGGAGGATCAGATCGCCAGCTCTCTGGGACCCACTCAGGAGTTTCGGGTGCAACGCATTTGGTTAGGGACAGCTCTGATACCTAGCTGCTAATGGCAATGCTATGAAGCATCTCAGTGGCCGTGACTACTCACCTGGGAGATCTGAACCCGTAGAGCTTGGATGAGCTTGGCCGGGTACACTTCTGTGAGTTGGAGTAAACTAAACTGAGGTTCCAAGTCTTTGGAATGACAAGCCCGGTCAGCGGTAGTTTCGCCACAAAGCATGAACCACAGCCGAGCGGTTCCCAGAATAGGTATATAACATGATCTTATTTGATAAATACATGTGATTTCGAAATGCGGACACACACACACAAGCGCACAAGCGCACACCCGCAGATGCTGCAGCCTTGAGTTCTACCTCACGCTTGGGGTGAGCATCCCAGAGTACCATCATTCTGTCAAAGGAGACGCCCACCAGCACGCAGCACCTGCAGGTTTCGCAGGAGACGGGAGGATAAAACCCTTTGATGGTGGTTTTGGTCCATAATACTGGGGGAGAACAATGTATAATAGTGTAAATAGTGGTTGTTAGCTGGTGGATGGAATCAATCATTTTTGCATTTCCCAAATACTTGGGATGGTTGGTTGATTTACTAATGCGCTTCTGCTGGAGAGGGCCAGTGGACCAAGATCGCCGGTTGATTTACCAATTCTTTTCAAAGAGGTTGAAACCACCAACCCGCCAACATTAACAGCTGAATCTATGAATCTACCGTGGTGAATCTATGTGGATCTCCCATGACCTGTAGAAGCTTAGCTACCACCATTTCCACCACTGTCTCATCATTGCAGCTGGCAGGATGCCACACGTGTTGCCGCGGCTTCTCCTGTGTCACAGGACAGGGCCACCACGGTGGACATGCAAGTTGAAGCAACCATAGGAATCCATAGGAGACAATAGATATGCCAAGTATAACATAGTAGGGCGAAAAAAAAAAACCGTGGACAGCTTCAAAGCAGGAGGGTTTGTGGCAAGCCAAACATTGGAAGACAACGTGACATGACGACGTGGCGACCCGAGTTGACTTGGTACACGATTTGCTGTCTCAACCTGTGGCCGTTCGGTTTATCACCTTGTATCCCTTCCTGGTTTCCTGCGTGGCGCCAGGATTCATACGACGTGTTCAACTTGGATGCTTCACAGGAGCTGCGTATAACATGCCACCCATGATTCTGGTACCACGTGGTTCGTTAAAGATTTTTTTCAGAGGGGGCCTCATTTTTGGCTTACGTGATTCATGCGCAGCATTATATGGTTCATTGAAAATAGGCAGCTGTTGATGGTTGTTGGAGGTCTTGAAACTACCTGAGGTACCAACGCTGGGATTGCATGGGGGTTGTCACGGTGTCTCACGGTCTATCATTGTCTTTCATGGTCTCTCACGGTCTGTCACGGCATCTCATGAATGCTCTCACGGTCACAGTCTCTCACAGTCTCTCAGGGTCTCTCACGGTCCATCACGGTCCATCACGGTCTCTCATGGTCTGTCACGGTCTTTCATGGTCTGTCATGGTCTCTCACAGTTTCTCAGGGTCTCTCACGGTCCATCACGGTCACAGTCTCTCACGGTCTCTCACGGTCTGTCACGGTCTGTCACGGCGTCTCACGGTCTGTCATGGTCTCTCACAGTCTGTCACGGTATCTCATGGTCTTTCACGGTCACAGTCTCTCATGGTCTCGCACGGTTTGTCACGGTCTCGCACGGTCTCTCACGGCCTGTCACAAACTTTCATGGTCTCTCATGGTGTCTCACGGTCTTTCACGCTTTTTCACGGTTGGCCTTGGTGGCAGCTGCCTGCTGCAGGACCGTTACCCCACCTTGGCTCTTCTGCTGGACCTGGTCAACAACGCCATCGCAGTTTTTGAAAAAAGTACGATGCAGTGCAAGATAGTTTGTTGGCGATAATGGTGTTATCGGGCTCCACGATCGGTTCTCTATCGTGGTTACTACCTCTTGTTTCTATCGCGGTTATTACGCGCTCTCGTGTTGTGGAGTGTAGTGTAGTGTAATGTAGTGTAGTGTAGTGTTGTGGAGTGTATTGTAGTGTAGTGTAATGTAGTGTAGTGAAGCGAAGCGAAGCGACATCTGAGCCTCCAAAAGTGGTCCGGACCCCTAGTGTTTTTAATATTTCGACTTCAAAATGTGCTTCGCGCCACAACGGCGTGCACTTTTTCGACATCTGAACTTCCAAAAATGGTCCGTACATGGTGTGTTTTGTACATTTTGACTTGGAAATGCGCTTCGCGCCACAACGGCGTGCACTTTTTCGACATCGCAACTTCCAAAAGTGGTCCGACGCTGAGGTGTTTTGTACATTTTGACTTGGAAATGTGCTTCGCGCCATAACGGCGTGCACTTTTTCGACATCGCAACTTCCAAAAGTGGTCCGAGCACCAGGTGTTTTGTACATTTTGACTTGGAAATGTGCTTCGCGCCACAATGGCGTGCACTTTTTCGACATCTCAACTTCCAAAAGTGGTCCGAGAATGGTGTGTTTTATACATTTTGACTTCGAAATGTCCTTCGCGCCACAACGGCGTGCAATTTTTCATCTCTCATCTGGCCAGCTGGCTTCGCACCCGCCGCTTTAGCGAGCCTACTTTTCGACCCTCCGGAGCCCCAAATCATTGGAAAAACACAGTGTTTCGCGACTTTCCTACCTTTTCTCGCATCTGCATCTTCTTTCTTCTTTCTCTTTCTCTTCTACTCTTCTTTCTTCTAATCTTTCTCTTCTCTCTGCCTCTTCCCTGCTCTGTTTTTCATCTGTCCATATTGTCGGAAGTTTGACTTCTAAACTTCCTTCGACAATTATATAACATTTTGCACCTCCCCATCTTAAAGAAAAAACGCTGTCAACATTTGATCTTGGGTTGACATAAGACAGAATAGATCTTATTAATCTGGGGTTTATGAAGTGATTATTGGCATTTATTGGCTATCTTCAATAGGATTCAATAGGATTCAATAGGTATGTCATGCTTCTCATGGGTCCTCCCAGCTTTGCCGAGGTCATCGCTGAACCTTCGATGCGTTCGCACCCCACCGTGGGACGTCTCTGCAGCGAGCTGGGCGCAGCGGTGGTGACTGACATGGACCAGGCGCGGCTGGGACGGTGGAGATGTTGGATGGAACCCGCTGGGAAGCCCCCATGAACTCATGAGTGTTGGATGGAAAGGTTCAGGGAACCCGAAGATTTGGGGAATTCAACGGAAGAAACTAGTAGTCAATTGAATAAGGTATACTTACTATAGTTTGTTTCTTGGGTTATTTGGGAACAGAATCTTGTTTGTAAAGCCTAATCCACACCCCACTGATGCCAGCTATGTACAATGGTGGAGGGGGGTAAATATAGGCATTCTGATAGCAGAGAAATGTCACAATCCACTGGTGCTTGACCAGTTGCCCAACAAAGTTATCAGCCAAAGTCCAATCCGTGAGTCTCAACATGGTGTGACCGTTTCTTCATCATCGCTAGGCAGGAAAACAAGCCTGGTTGGCGGATTGGGTATGGCTGAGAAGCGCCAAGCACTTGGTGTTAAGCCCCAGCCGGGGAGCCTCAGATGCTGCCGTGGTGCTGCGGATGTTTGCCAAGCGCAAAGTGGGAAGATTTGCCAACAAAACAAGGGCTGGTTTGCAAACCCAAATTCGATATTTACCTGGCACACTGACGATATGCATGGTGATAAGGCCATGAGTTTCTGATGGACATGAACAGAGAATATATAATAGTCACAAGGAGCCGCAAAATGGGAACCATGCAAGCAAGTTGCAGCAGCAAACGCGCAATTTCAATCAAAAACCGTTACTGATCTCAGTGAAAGACTCTGGTTTTAAGCGCATACCTTTTGCAAAGTTGACTCTGAAACTGGGGCCATTCACATGAAATTTACCTCTTTTGCAGACGAACTTTGCCCAGAATAAAGGGCATGAATCCCATCAAGCCAGTTATCTTTTGAAATCACCTCTGTATTAGATGGTTGGTGTAGAGGGACAGGAGGATGTTTCAAGGGGGCAGCTATGAACACAGTTTTTGTTCCCGAAGCACCCTTTTTGTTGGTGCAATCCCGGTGATTAATCCTGTCAAATATGTCATTTGTGCCCTGTTCCTTAATGCTTATCTTCGGTGACAGCCCAACTAGAACTGGTTTCATCTTCTTGGTTTCATGGAGTGCAATCCTCGTTGGCATCTGGCAACCTGCCAGGCACTTTTGTATGGTGGGCTGCCTTCCTATCTGAGGCTGGCCAGCTGTTGCGACCAAGGTGCAAACCTTTTGCATGGAACATCCAATTTCCAAGAGATAAGTACAGTAGCTGGCCAGCCTACTGTAGCTTTCCTGAAGATTTTCTTGTGAAACATGGAGCTTTCTCATCATTTTCCGGCTGCTGTGTGAAGCTTGAAGAGATCAGAAGCTATCCGATTCTATGGTCGCCGATACCGGAGAGGCTTTGCGGATCTATGTGCCCATTTTTCCTGGCATTGTGGGGGGGACCCAGGGTGCATCTCAAGGGACTTCCTGTAAACCGTCGATTGAGGCGGAGAGGAGAAAGGAGCCAAACCAACTTGGATAGAATCTGATAGAAGCACATATTGATCAACACTTGGTACGGCGAAACAGGATGGATTTGGATCCTTCAAACGACAAACCATTTCTGCTTTGTCTAAGCCTGAAATTCTGACCCATACGCATCATGGCTAGCTACCCTCATGCTACTGTATATCCCATGACCGCAAGTTTTGGCTGGTCAAGTCGCGTATTATCCTGCTGGTGCAATCCCATTTTTGTTGGTGAGTGAAGTCCTCATTTTTTTGTTGCGTAAAGTTAGATCCCACTTTGTGGTGGAATCCCAATGTTTGGATCTCCGATTTTGTTGGAGACAGATGTCTATCCAACAAACCATCCAGTCATCAGTTGAGCCGCAGAAAGCTCAGAGGCTGCGCTGCCGTGGTGCAAACTGTTGCCCTCCGGAGATCCCAGATATCTGCTACCTGGTCAATGCCTAGTGGGGGATCACGATAGGGTCATCATGCTCCTTCAAATCCTTCAGTATCGCCGTTCAAATGTGTTCGACGTTTCGACGTTCGACGTTTCGACGTTCGAATGGGTATGGGTCGGGTCAAAACCATGTCACCATGGCTTTCACACCAAAATAGCGAATGAATGAGCGTTCATTCCAAATCCCAAAAGGTCCCATAGGTGGGGACCCTTTCTCAAATAGGATCTCAGGGTGGTACAGTGTGACCAACTCGAAAACACCTGACGTGGTCCCTGTGGGTCCCCAGGGTTCTCGGTTTATCAGGTGACCTTGATGCCGGCAACGACCCGAACCGCTTCCCTGACAGACCCAGGTTCTACGACTTTTGGACCAACACCACCTTCACCGATGCCCGGGATGCCCTGTGAACGACATGTAATCGATGACTCCACCCAAACCTTTAGAATCTTGGGACTTGCCAAAAGCTTTCTCTTGCTCAAAACAAGTCCATTCTTTGTTGGTGCCCAATTCTGTCCCATCCCCATCTAGATAATGACCCCATCTGCCTCTAGATATTCTATCCGATCCTGTCATGATTCTGTCGCAGGGATCAGTGGCAAAGACCCACTGCCAAGAGTACTTCCATTGCAAAGCCGATGAGCGCCTTGGGACTGATCAAGGGGCGTGGGTGGTGGGCTATTGGAGGACCATCTTTGGTGGCCCAAGCACAACGAATGAATATACATCCCCATCTAGATAATGACCCCATCTGCCTCTAGATATTCTATCCGATCCTGTCATGATTCTGTCGCAGGGATCAGTGGCAAAGACCCACTGCCAAGAGTACTTCCATTGCAAAGCCGATGAGCGCCTTGGGACTGATCAAGGGGCGTGGGTGGTGGGCTATTGGAGGACCATCTTTGGTGGCCCAAGCACAACGAATGAATATACGTATATATATAATATATATACAATATAATATAATATAATATAATATAATATAAGATAATATAATATAAGATAATATAATATAAGATAATTTAATATACGATAATTTAATATACGATAATATAATATAATATAATATAATATAATATAATATAATATAATATAACATAATATAATATAATATAATATAATAATATATATATACATATATATATATATTATAGATATATAATATAATATATAAATATATATAATTATATTTATACTATACATATACACATATCCAGCAGGTAGTTTCCAGGGCGGAGATTGATGGGGCCCCCGGACTTGCTTCAAGGGATTAAGAGCAGTAGTGTCAACCTCGGATGAAGCACACTCCGCGAAGTACGGTCTCCAGTGTGCAGCTGCTGCTGCCGTCTTTTGAGGTGCGTGGTGAAGAAGCATCGAACGGCCATGGCCAGCCTCTACCCGGAGCTGTTGGAACTGAACCAGCAGGACCTGAAAACTGGAGCTGAAAGAGGGGAAGAGGAGTCGGATTTTCAACGACGTCTATTTCATATGTGGAATATCTCACTTGAGTGGCATAGACTGCAACTGTTCGGAAAATGCCCTGAAGAAAATTACATCCAGAATATAGTGATGTCATGATGTCCTTTGACGTCTTTGCTTTTGAAGCTCCAGGACGCTGACTTTCTGAACGCCTCTGCTGCGAAAATGGGAGCGACCTCCTTGGGAGGAACAGCTGTAGCTGGTGAGGCACTCTGTTGAGTCAATTCCAACCCATTAAAAAGTGGGATCCACTGAGGGGACTTACTGACCAGGGTTATCAACCACTTTCAACTTACAACCACTTACTAAGTGGCATGATCCTCCAAGTGTTCAGTGAATCGAGCACAAGTCAAGTGGGTCGGTCCATCACCAGCAGTTTCTGCTTCGCTGTCTGCAGCTCCTCAGCCTTGTGCGCGAATGACAGTTGATGGTCACTGAGCTTCGGTATGGCTTGGATATTTTGCGGTACAACAAACAAATCTTAAGCTTTGGTATAGATTATTCTTAGCCATAAAAATGCAGGAATGAACAACCCGGCCAAAGGTGTAACATGTATGATTGGCCATGCATGCAGTAATCTACACATAGTGTTTGGCCCATGTTGGCCCATGTTGGCCCATTGTTACGGCCACAATCATGACCCAAGAATCCGTAGATGTTGGTCATTAGTACGATGTTGAGTATCCAACTTTGACCTATGCCCACATGGAAAACCTGCTGCTGCAATTGAGTCCCACACTTCTTAAAGAATCTCGGTGCTTGGCCTAGCAGCATTTCCGTGTCCTTGGCTGTGGCCAATGACTGATGGGTGGCTGGAAATGGTTCATTTGTGCTTTGTCAACCCTGGCAGCGGCGTTCAGCTTAAGTATGACATGGATGAGGGTAGAAGGAGTGGCAGCAGTGGGATGGGATCAAGTGCTTGTCCCTGAAATCAACAGCGTTCGAACTCTCTGGGCTTAAGGATCTTAAGGGACCATGGCTTTGGTGGTCAAGGGCATCATTTTGGGACCATATTTCAACCCTACTTGAAATGCCTTCGGCAGATTGGTCCAAAACCTGTATATAGCTAAGTAGCTGAGTAGCTGATGGTATCTCGAACTTTGCATATTTAGGCCTCACATGGGGTACAACCAAGTAAGATATTTATGCAAATGCCCAAACAAATGGTGGTTTTGCTGGACAAAGCGACCATAAGCGACCCATGATCACATATGATCACTCATTATCTTCATTTTTGCTCACTTTTTGGGGTGATTCCAGCTGGATACCAGCCACCCGGATTGAGGAGAGGCTTCTACAGCAGCCGCAACGGATGCCAGCAGAAACGTGCCGGCTGCGACCGCGACGGCCGCAACGGCCATGGACAAAGGCAGGGTTCGGATACCCCCGAAGTCTCATGGTTGATCATCACTGTCCACTAAAACGGCCATGGTTGATATCATTTTAGGGTATTCCCGATTTTTGCACAGACCCACTTACCGCTGAAGTTTTAAAATGGAGGGGATGAACTTGTAACTGATGGGTGCAGACTGCTGCTCAGGGTAAAGGCAGAACAACACAATACAGTTGTATGGACAGAGGTTTCCTAAAATGGCGGTACCCCTAAATCATCCATTTTAATAGGATTTTCCATAATAAACCATCCATTTTGGGGATCACCAATTTATGGAACCCCCCATATAGATGATTCGGAATCGGAGATTTACTTTTCTCATCTAAGACCCAATTCAAGCAGCTTCCCAGTGACCCTTATCGGGCACATTGGAACAAGCAGATGTATGGGGTTTGTCCACATGGCTATATGTGTTTTTGTTCCTCTTACTCATCGCGTGGATCCCCAGATGAATGCTGGATGTTCCTAAGCAATTGGGAGGCTGCATAAACACTGGCAACAAGTCCGTACATTTCATTCATGAATTTTTCATCGATTTTTTTTATTCCTGTTGGAATTTGATTAAGACCAATCTTCGGCAGACTCTGGCATCTTTGGCGCCTTTTTCCGGGATGAAGAAGAGAAGTCAGAGAGGTGTCACCTTTTCCACTCCAAAAGAAGGGGTCCAATCTTCCCAGTTGGCCAGGGACAGACTTGGAGGCTGTACTGAATACCACTCCCGGTCCAATCCCTCGACACCTGGTGCTTCAAAGACATGCGGGGCTTTACCTCGACAAGTCGCTGCAGCCAGAGTTCAAGGAGAACCGTCGGGTGAACCTTGGTGAATGGTGGGTGAATGGGTGAATTTCAGCGCTTGGAATCCGAGATTTCACTAAAATATAGTTCCCCAAGCAGTAGATGTTCAGGCCCGGTGTTGAACCGAGGTGGTATCGGAAGCGTCCGGCATTTTTCCTGTGCATTTAAGCACAAAATGCCTCTTGTGACATATCCATGTGCATTTCGACTGCGACAGGCATTCCCTCTAAATTACCGCACAAAATGGCTTTTGTGCCGTGTCCATGTGCATTTCGACTGCGCAGGCTCGCACAAAACGATGTCCCCGGGGGTGTCCGCGGCCATTTTCCCTGTAAATTTCCGTACAAAACGGCTCTTGTGCAATGTCCGTCTGCATTTCGATTGCGCAGGCTCGCACAAAACGATGTCCCCGGAGGTGTCCGCGGCCACTTTTCCTGTAATTTTCGATGCAAAATGGCTCTTGTGCAATGTCCGTCTGCATTTCGACTGCGCAGGCTCACACAAAGTGTGCTTCCCGGTCTTGGGATCGGTCTTCCTCCTCAACATCCTACTCCTCAACATCATCATCTTCCTCCTCCTCAACATCATCATCTTCCTCCTCCTCAAGATCATGATCTTCCTCCTCCAAAACATCAACATCAACATCAGCATCAATATCATCATCTTCATCTTCATCTCATCATCACCACCACCACCATCATCATCATCATCACCACCACCCTCACCCTCACCCTCATCCTCACCCACA